TCCACCAACTTGCCTGAATTACGGTGAAGTCTCGAGCGAGAGCGCCGTTCCTGAGTTCGGGAGCCTTATTGGCCAGGGGCTCTCGGAGTGAATCGTGAGGAAATATCGAGCAGGAGCCCTTGTCGTCGTGGCTGGGCCTCCGCCAACTTGATTGAATTGCCAGGAAATCTCGTGCGAGAGCGCCGTTCCTGAGTTCGGGTGCCTCTCTGGCCAGGGTGTTTCGGGGTAAATTGTGAGGAAGTATCGAGCGGGAGCCGTTGTCGTCGCAGCTGGGCCTCCAAGGGCCCACCCCACATTTAGGCGCAAGCCAGGCGCGGTTCCTCGGTGACGGATTCTTTGCGGTGAGCAAGCGTTGCGAGGTTGAAGGTGTGGCCCTTCACCTCCCTCACTGTCTTCGGGAATGGTCCCGCTTTGGCCTGAAGTTTTGTGCTAAGTGTGGCGTCACCGCGACGGTGGTCGACCGCAACCTCTCGAAGCCCTGGCAGCTGCCCTCTCGCAAGGGCATCGAGAATATGTCTCTTGTTTTGCGGGGGCTGGTTCCCTCGTATCGTGGGCCTCCTGCTTCGGTCAAGGTGGCCGAGGTTTCGGCCCAGCGTGCCCGTGCCCAGCGAGAGGGCGTGCAGGCCTGTGATGTGCCTGTGCCTGTGGAGTTGGACGGGTACCTGAGGTATGCCGCCCTTCCCCAACCTGACTTTGCGCCCCCCGATCCCCCACATGCGGGAGTTCTGGGGGACACCGATGTTGTGCCTGCCCCTGAGTTTGATGTTGCCCCCGTCCCCCCACCCGCGGGCGTGGGGACGGGAGGCGCGGAGGAGGTGAGCGCGGAGAGGCGTGGGGGCCGCCCGTCGTCGTCCCTGGGACCGGCTTCTCCACCGCCCGCCCCCCTCCTCCCCCCCTTCCGATTAAGCGCCACCTGTGTGGACTTACCCCGTAACTCGGCAAATCCTCCTCCGTGTCGTTATCATCACGGCCACAACCATCACCAACATCATCCTCACCACCGTCCCCCTCACCACCATCCTCCTCAGCATCAGCCTCATCCTCATCATCATCAGCCGCATCCTCGTCATTATCACCATCATCCTCATTATCACCAGCAACGTCCCCATCATAATCACCCAATCATCATCATAACCTTCATCTGCATCACGGCTATCCCAAACCGTAAGACTCGAGGTCACACACGTAACTGCTATCCTCGTTCTCCTCCTGCCCCTCCCACTCCTCGTCATCATCATCATCAGCATCATCATCATCACCACCCCCAGGAGGGAGTCTCGAGCAAGAGCGCGATTCCTGAAAACAAGATAAACTAAAACGACAGCGCGGCTCTTTTCGCGAGGAAATCTCAAGCGAGAGCCCGACTCCGAGGTAAATCGCGACGAAGTCATGAGCGAGAGCGCGATTCCTGAGTAAATCGCAAGAAGATCTCGAGCGAGAGCGCGATTCCTGAATGCGTCGGGGGGAGATCTGGAACGAGAGCACGATGCCCGAATAAATGGCCAGGAAGTCTCGAGCGAGCTCGCCCGAGCGAGAGCGCGATCCGTATGCAAATCGCTAGAACATCTCGAGCGAGAGCGCGATTCTTGGGTAAATCGCGAATCTCTCGAGCGAAAGCGCGATTCAAAGTAAATCGCGAGGTATTATGGGGCGAGGGCAATGTAAATCGCGACGAAGTATTGGGCGAGAGCGCAGTTCCTGAGTAAATCGCGAGGAAGTATCGAGCGAGAGCGCCGTTCCTGAATGCAGAGAAATGTAAAAACGAGAGCGCTTTCCCCTAGCAAATCGCAAGGAAATCCCGATGGAGAGCCCGATTCCTTAGGTAAATCGCAATAAATTCTTGAGCGAGAGCGCGATTCCTCAGTAGATCGCGGGGAAATCTCGAGCGAGAGCGCGATTCCTTCATACATCGGGGGAAATCTGGAGCGAGAGCGCGGTTCCCGAAGAATTCGCGAGGAAGTCTCGAGCGAGATCGCCCGAGCGAGAGCGCAATTCCTATGTAAATCGCATGGATTTCTCGAGCGAGAGCGCTGGAGCGAGAGCGCGATTCCTCGGTAAATCGCTAGGAAGTCTCGAGCGAGAGCGCGATTCGTGGCTAAAACGCGAGGGAGCATCGAGCGAGAGCGCGATTCCTGAGTAAATCGGGAAGAAGTCTCGAGCGAGAACGCAATTCCCATGTAAATCGCGAGGAAGACTCGAGCGAGAGCGCCCGAGCGAGAGAGCGATCCCTAAGGAAATCGCGAGGGAGTCTCGAGCGAGAGCGCGATTCTTTGGCAAATCCCACCAGCCCTCTGGGCGTAGGTGGTTCCGGGAGTTTCCTCTCCCACCCCTCCTTCTTCCCATTCGGGGAGGGGTTTACCCCTCCCCCTAACCCCCTCCCCTGGACCTGGACGGGGGGGGCCGCTGGTAGTTAGAGCGTCCAAAACGGCCTCGGCGAGGAAGCCAAAATCATCGGTTTTACTAGGGTTTTGGCCCCATTTTGGCCTCTGGGGGGGGCAAGGCTAATTAACCCCACCCTCTACTTTGATCGATCGCCTCCAAGATGGCCCCAAGAGGCGCCCAGGGGGCCCCAAGCGGCGCCAAGATGGCCCCAAAATGGCCCCAAGAGGCCGCCATGAGGCCCCAAGAAGCCCCCAAGAGGCCCCAAGAGGCTCCCAGGATGGTTCCAAGAGGCCTCCAAGAGGCTCCAAGAAGCCGCCATGAAGCTCCAAGAGACCCCCCCCCCCCAAGAGGCCCCAAGAGGCCTCCAACAGGCCCCCAAGAGCCCCCCAAGAGGATCCCAAAGCGGCCTCAAGAGGCCCCCCCGAAGCACCCAAGACGCCCAAGAGCCCCCATTGACCGCCAAGAGACCCCCAAGACGCCCGCCAAGACGCCCGAAGAGGTTTCCAAAAGGCTTCCAAGAGGCATCCGAGCGGCATTCAACCATCCACCCAGCGTCATCATTCTCCTCATCCCTCCTTCGCTCGGTTCCTCGCCACCCCCTCATCTATCCATCTGGCCTCCTCTTCCGCCTCATCCTTTGCACCGGTCGGCTGTCCCTCTCGTTGCTCCCCCACTTCCCTGATCTCTTCAACTTGCCTGGACATCGTTTCTGGATGGGTTGGTGGGGATATTTTTTTGATCCGCGTCTCCAAGAACGATTCCAGAGAGCGGGTCGGATCTAGCATGAGTCAGCACGCAAGATAATTGCCAGCGGGCCAAAAGCCGACGCCGGAGTGCACAAGCGCCAAAGAGAGCAAGCATGAAGCCAAGCGAGATAATTACCAGCGGGCCAAAAGCCAACGCCGGGAGGCACATGCAAGGGGAGAAACCTAAGAGGCCCAGCAAAGCCAGACGGCGAGCAGGAAGTACCAGCGGGCCAAAAGCCGATGCTTGAACCAGGAACCCTCACTCACGGAGCAACTAAGGCTCATGGACAGCTGCGTCCAGTAGGTTGAAGCACCACTGAACACAGTCGTCAGACGAAGTGCGTCGAGGGGGGCGTGGGCCTTCCCGCCGACCGCACCAGGCCGAAGTGAGCCCAGGCGGCTGGTGGGGATACGCGAAGCGTCAAGAGTTGTGAAAAGTCTCGAGCGAGAAAGCGACTCACGAGTAAATCGCAAGGAAGTCTAGAGCGCGAGCGCTCGGCGTTTGTTGTTGGTGGTGATGCTGTTGTTGTTGGTTGTTGTTACCGGCGATGTTGTTGCTGCTGATGGTGTTGTTGTTGCTGCGGGTGTTGTTGTTGGTGTTGGTGTTGCTGTTGGTGTTATTGTTTGGGGGGCGGCCCGGGCGGCGTGGCCCCTCCCTATTCAACAGCAACAACAGCAACAACAACAACAACCAACCAACCAACCAACCAACCAACCCACCAACCAACCAAACCAACAACCAAACAAACAATCAAACAAATCAAGCAAACACGACGACAACAACAACAAGAACAAGAACAAGAACAATAACAAGAACAAGAACAAGAACAAGAACAAGAACAAAAACAACAACAACGACAACCAAAACAACAACAACAGCAACAACATCACAACAACAACGACAACAACAACGACAACAACGACAACAACAACAACAACAACCACCACCACCACAACCACAACCACAACAACAACAGCCACGACGACGACGACACCAACGCCAACACCAACGCCAATACCGAGACATACATCAACAACAACAATAACAACAGCATCACAAACATCATCATCAGCAGCAGCATCAGCAGCATAGTCATCCACGTCCTAATCATCATGTCATCGTCAGCATGTCCATCATCATCAGCAGCAGCATCATCACCATCAACACCATCATCATCATGACCACCACCACCATCATCACCACTTTCACAACCACCGCACTCCTCCTTCTCCTCATCGTCATCATCAGCATCAGACTCTTCATCCTCATCCTCACCAGCATCCTCATCCTCACGCACATCTTCATCCTCATCCCTCCTCCTCCTCATCCTCCTCATCCTTATCATCCTTATCATCATCAGCAGCAGCAGTAGCAACAGCATCACCATCACCCCCACAACCACCACCACCATCCTCCTCATCCTCACCCTCATCGATATGCTCACCCACATCCATCCTCATCCTCATCAGCCTCAGCATCATCATCATCACCACCACCACCATCATCATCATCATCATCATCATCATCATCATCATCATCATCATCATCCTGAGCATCAGCGTAATCAGAATCATCATCATCACCATCATCATCAGCGTCAAATCATCATCGTCATCAGCATCATCCTCAGCATCATCATCACGACCACCACCACCACCACCATCAACGTCATCATCATCATCATCATCATCATCATCATCATCAGCAGCAGCATCAACATCGGCATCCTCATCCTCATCCTCATCCTCATCCTCATCCACACCATCGTCATTCCCCTCCTCCTCATCCTCCTCGTCCACATACTCCTCCTCATCAGCATCATCATCCCCACCCTCCCCACCACCCTCCCCGCCCTCATCCCCACCACCAACAGCAGCAGCATCGCCGCTCCTGCGCGAGCGTCCTCGGCTCGCGCGACGGCCCGGGCGGGCCCGGCGCGCCGCCCACGTGGTGCGACAGGCTGATCGCTGGCCTCCGCTCCTCGGCCGGCGCCGCCCGCGGACGGCCCAGCGGCTGCCGCGCGCCCAGGGAGCGCAGCAGGGCCATCAGCTCCTTCTGGACCTCCTGCTGTGAGGGGCAACGGCACACAACCGGTCGGAAAAAGCGGGTAGAAGCAGGAAGGGGGCAGGCGCCGGAAGCAGGCTGGGCTTCCGCCCGCCCCCCGAAGAGCAGGGAAGGAGGAGGCCTGTCGGTCCTTGGATAGGGAAGGCGCCTGAGGTAGATTGGGATCCGGGAATCCAGAAATACCTACTTTCAACGACCGGCGCGCATTGGGGTAGGGGGGGGCTGGCTCGGGGGGGGGGCACATCGACCTGGAGTCGGCGGTAAATCGGCGACAGATCGGCGATAGGCCCGCGATAGCGAATCCGAACCTTCCTAGGCGGGGCGGGGCTATCAGAGCCCTCTCGGCGATCGAGGGGCGATCGGGGGTCGATGCATCCCCCCCTCAGCCTACCCCCCCTATCGTTGCCCCTGATGCTGGGCAGCTCGAGATCCAGGAGCGGACGTCGGCGGCGCGCGACTCGGCGTCGGGGTGCTGTCTGGCAGCTGCGCATCGCCGAGAGCGTTCCGGGAATGCCCGGGCCACCCCAAACGGCCGCCGCAGATCCGAGGTATGACCCGAAAGCCAACGGCCCAAAAAATCTCGGCTGTGCGCAGAGAGGGGAAGATTAGTGGTCCTGGACCCTGGGGCCTTCTTCCCCCAGGACGAGATTTTCCTCTTGAGTCGTTTTCTGACAGTCCTGGGGCCCGTGGAGGGCCCCAGGAGCCCGAGAGCGGCAAAAAGCCTCGGGACCCGTCTCCCTCAGGAACCGCCTCCCCCCTGGCGAGAAGCGAGAGGGAGCAGGCCCTGCGGGGTTCCTCGGGAACCCCCCCTGGCCAGCCGAGAGGCCGTGTGAGGCCTCGACCGTTTCTCGGCCGAGCCCTCCGAGGAGGCCGGCCCCGTCTGCCTCTCCCCCTGGGCGCGCCGCCGAGGAGGGAGCGCATGAAGGGAGAGGGCACGGGGAGAGGTGGCGACGAGCTTTCGGTACGGCAGGTTAGTAGCCTTGAGTGGCCTTTACTTTAGCGGCCTTTAGTGTATTACTGGCTGCCTCCAGCGGCCTAAAACTTGCCCACGAGCTGCCTTTCGTGGCCTTTGGCGGCCTCTAGTGGTCGTCGGCGGCTTTCAGTAGCCTCTACGAAAATGCAATGAAATACATTCTGTATGTTCACTGAACGGACTCACGAGCGACGGACGTACGGCGGGTTCGTGTCGTTCCGATTTCGGCGCTGGTGTCCGACACCGCGGGGATCGTTCAGCCCTGGACGATCGGCCGTTTCCGAAACGTCAGATCGTTCAACAACGACCGAGTCGGGGTCGCCGGCGGCGTCCAACGCTGAACGCCGGCGGCGGAGTCGCCGCTGGTCGCCACGACGACGCGAACCTACCGTATCCACATCCATCCACGCCCCTGCGGTCGGGATGCCGAGGCGCGAGCCCACGGAGATGCACTCTCCCGTGGCTCCGCGCCTCGCCTGGGGCATTCCGCGCCGCCCGGCGCCGCCACGCATCCGGTGGCGCCGCGGCCGAGGAGGTCGGGCCGCGAGGCCGTGGATTTGGACATGCTTCTCGCCCAGGTTGGGCGGCTGGAGAGAGAGAGAGAGAGAGAGTATGTTCTACCCGCATCACATGAGCAGCGGCGCGCCCGCGCCACTGTCCGCCACTCCTCGGTGCTATGAGCGCGGCCTGGGCACCAGTGGGGGAGCGAAGAATGACATAAACATAAAAACTCGGAGGTCCGCGCAGACCCCCGAGCTCTTATGTTTACGTCATTCCTCGCTCCCCCAGAGAGAGAGAGAGAGAGAGGAGCCTCCTTGCTTCAGAGTCGTGTCGCGGCGGCTTCGGCGCTGGCTTCTGACACCGCGTGGACGGCTCGACCTTCAGCGATCACGGCTTCCCGATAGCGCTTCTCTTGATGCCGGCCAGCTCAGAGCCGCTGGCGGAGCTCCACCTTGAACGCCCGTGCTGGGGTCGTCGCCGCGTCGGCCCGACACCAGGCTACCGTTCCCTCCCGTGCCTGAGCTTCTTCTCGGGAGTGTGCCAGGCGTGACAAGGATCGCCAGCCGGCGCCCGCACGGCTTTGCACCCCCCGCCCAGCGATCCTGGGGGAGCCCGGCGAAGGACCCGTGCGGCATGAAGAGCGGGGTGAACTGCGGGTCCGACTTGGCGCCGACGCGCGTCTGAGCGAAGTGCTCGAAGTTCTGCTCGTAGCCCTGGACCGCCGCGGGGTGGATGCGCAGCGGCTGGCCCTGCCCCGGCGCCTCCGCGCCCAGGCACGCCCCGTCCAGCTGCCGGAGGAACGCCGAGGCGTGCCGCGTCTCCGTGAAGTTGACGATCGGCGGCGCGCCCGGGGGGGTGGGGGGGAAGCGAGGATCCGCCTCCGCCTCCGCCTCCTCCTCCGCTCCTCCTCCTCCTGCTCCTCCTCCCTCCTCCTCCTCCTCCTCCTCCTCCTCCTCCTCCTCCTCCTCCTCCTCCTCCTCCTCCTCCTCCTCCCTCCTCCTCCTCCTCCTCCTCCTCCTCCTCCGCCTCCGCCTCCGCCTCCGCCTCCGCCTCCGCTTCTTTCTCCTCCGCCTCCGCCTCCGCCTCTTCCGCCTCTTCCGCTCCTCCTCCTCCTCCTCCTCCTCCTCCTCCTGCTCCTCCTCCTCGAGGATCGAGGCGGGCCTTGCCAGGAGAAGCTCCCTGGGCCTTCCCCGAAGCCACAAACGGCGTCTCAGGGGGCGCGAGGGCCTCTGAGGAGCCCTGTCGCCTCCTGAGGAGGCCTTCCCCCCCCCCTCGCTTCCCCCCCAGGCGCGCCGCCGAGATGAAACCGTAGCCCACGTTCTTGCCCTTCCTGGCGTCGAACTGGAAATAGATGAAGTCCACCAGCCCCAGGAAGCCGCGGCACGAGAAGTCGGCCAGGAACATGAGCTGCGTGTAGTGCCGCGGGATCTGGCGGAGCATCAGCGTGTGCACGCCGCCCTCCAGGGATGCGCTGGTCTCCAGCTTGGCGCGGCTGTGTCTCCTGCGCACCCGGGTGCTCTTGCGCGTCGGAGCCGAAGCGGCCGTCGTGGTCGAAGAGGCCAGGTCTTCGAGCATCCTCGCCGTCATCAGCTGCTTCGACTGCTGGGACTCGTCCGCGCGCGGCCACCCCGAGTCCTCGTCACTGTTCTGGGTGCCACTGCGCGTCGGCCAGGACGACTGGTAACCAGTCGACCCCCCAGACGAGGAGGCGTCCATCGTCTTAGTGTCATTGCCGGCGACACTATAACCTCCTGCCTCTGTCTCCATGCTGTTTCTGTCCTCCGTCTCGTTGCTGGTCCTGTCCGACGTTACGTCGTCAACGGATCCAGACTCGGGGACAGGCACGTTGTCCTCAGCATGGCGGGACCCCGCCCTTGCCGACCGAATACCATTGCTGCCCGAATGATGCAGCATGTCGAGGCAAGCCCACATGGAAGTTTGAGCCTGAGCCTGCTCCTCAGCGTACCAACCCGTCGTCGTCTGCTCTGTATAGACTGACTTCCCAGCACCGCCGTTTCACACGCCTGCTCTGACCTGATCCCCCAGGGTCCTCCCATCTTCTGTCCTATCCCTTTCCCTCCCTGTTCACACTCCCGTTGCAATCCCACCAGCCCTCTGGGCGTAGGTGGTTTAGGGAATTTCCTCTTCCACCCCTCCGTCTTCCCCTTCGGGGAGGGGTTCACCCCTCCCCCTAACCCCCTCCCCTGGACTTGGACGGGGGGGGCCGCTGGTAGTTAGAGCGTCCAAAACGGCCTCGGCGAGGAAGCCAAAATCATAGGTTTTACTAGGGTTTGGGCCGATTTTGGAGGCTCCCGAGGGGGGAGGCTAATTGGGGGACCCCCTTCCTTTGATCGATCACCTCCAAGATGGCCCCAAGAGCGCTCCCAAGGCTCCCAGGAGCGCCCCAAGAGGGCCTCAAGAGGCGCCCAGGAGGCCCCAAGAGGCGACCAGGAGGCCCCAAGAGGCCTCCAAGAGTCCCCCAAATACCCCCAAGAGGCCCCCAAGAGGCCCCAAGAGGCTCCCCCGAGGCACCCAAGACGGTCCAAGAAGCTCCCGGGACCGCCAAGAGGCCCCCTAGACGCCCCAAGAGACCTCAAAGAGTATCCCAAGAGACATCCCAAGAGACTCCGCGAGGCATTCAAGAGGCCTTTGACTGTTCTGATCGTCCTTATCCTCCTCCTCCCCCTCATCATCACCATCATCATCATCATCAGCATCATCACCATCACCATCTTCATCACCATCGTCAAGACCACCACCATCATCGTCATCATCAGCATCATCAACATCAACATCAACAGCATCATCCGCCTATTCCTCCTCCTCATTCCTCCCTCCCCACCCTCATCATCCTCCTCTTCCGCCTCCGACAACTCCTCCATCCCTCCCCCCCCCTTGGGGTACGACGGCCTCCCCAGCCCCTTGTTCCTCTATATGCTGCCCCGCTTCCATGATCACCTCTACTCGCCTGGGCGTCGATTCTGGATGGGTTGGTGGGGAGATTTTTTTTGTTCAGCGGCCCGCAAGGAAAAGTCCAGAGGGCGTGTCGATCAGGCAAACTGGGGCACAGAGCCAGATAATTGGTGCACATGCAGTACAAATTGGAAGGAAGAGCAGAGGGCGAGGCAGACCAGAGCCGGGCGGCGCGGGAAGGGGCGACAGAAGACGGAAGAGGAAAAAGAGGGGGCCTCACTCACTGAGCACCGCGTGCTCGAAGGCAGAACTCCACTGACTCAGGCGACGGTAAACATGGCGTGAATCCCAGGTGGCAACTGTCACCCACCGGGAAGGGGGAAACGTCGTGTGGAACCCCTTCACAATCACCAGCGTCCGAGGCACGTCAGGGGGGAACTGCGGGCAGGTGGACCACCTGCGCACCGCGGATGGAGTGCCGCCCGGGCAGACCCACGCACCATTGTGGGATCTATACGCAGTGCTGTGAGAGGTACACCTCGCCCCCAGGAGGTGACTCAAAGGTATCAGGCCGGAGCCGCACTGCGGTGAAACATGCCCTTGACGAGTAACGGCCACCTCGGCGGCATTGACCCGTGGGGGCTCCTGCCTGTGGAGCGTGCCTTGTGAACGTCGCACGTAGTCGGCCCGCCACCGCAGTCGTCGAGGGCGTCAGGAGGGAAGAGGGGGAGGCGCAGCCGATAGCCGCAGGACATTTGAATACAAAGGGAAGGAGGAGCCAGGCAGGCTGGTGGGGTTACGCGAAGCGTCAAGAATTCCCACTTCCCCTTCCTGCAACCCACACTCCCCGCTCCCACGATCCCCCTTCGTTCCTGCCTTTTCCCTCACCCTCCCCTGTTCCCTGCCTTCCTCACAGCTATATCGGCCCAAGCCACTCGAAACGCCCTCATCCGCCTCGGCAGTTCCACCATCATCCACTGCTTCAAGTATCTACCTCGGCCTCAACATAAATTCTGGACCAAACAGTCACTTGTGTTGGGCGGTCGTACACACCATCCACATCCGTCGGCCACGAAAAGCGTACTCAAGCAGCCCGCCTGGGGCACAGGTCGAAATGCCCTCCAGCGCGGCTCGCGTCGGATATGACCCGAAATAAATCACCAGCCAAGCCAACGCCATCAGAAGTGCTGGCAATTGATCACATATGCCGCGCAATGGGTTGGACAGCTCCCACGGAAACATACGCGGTACTTGTAAGGCGCAGTGTAACCGATCATGCCCACATGATCACGCTCACATGACGTGACTGGTCATGCCCATATGGTCGGCTAGACCTCGGCTTAACCAAAGGGAAGCACTGATTTGGGAATCAGTCTTCATCATCATCATCAGCAGCATCATCATCAGCATCAGCATCAGCAACAACATCAGCATCAGCATCAGCATCAGCAGCAGCATCATCATCATCGTCATCATTTGCACCAGCATCATAATCAGCATCAGCATCAGCATCATCAGCATCACCATCCCCATCATCATCAAAGAAATAAACACCATCATCGTCATCAGCATCATCATAACCATCATGTTCAGCATCATCATCATTATCATCGTTGGCATCATCATGCTCATCAGCATCAGCATCATCATCATCATCATCATTCATAATCGTCGTCATCAGCAGCATCACCGGCATCACCATCATCATCATCATCATCATCATCATCATCGTTTTCATCAGCCACATCATCAGCAGCATCAGCATCATCATCATCATCATCATCATCATCATCATCATCAACATCCTCATCAGCATAATCATCAACATCATCAGCATCATCAGCATCATCGGAATCAGCATCGTTACCATCATCGATCATCGTCATCACCATCATCCTCAGCATCATCCCCATCATCACCACCATCATCACCATCATCACCATCATCAGCATCATTATCATCAGCATCGTCGTCACGTTAATCATCAGAATCATCATCAGCATCATCAAAATCATTTGCATCATCATCATCATCATCATCATCACCATCATCATCATCATCATCATCATCATCAGCATCATCAGCATCATCATCGTTACCATCATCAACACCATCATCATCAGCTTCATCATCAGCTTCATCATCGCCACCATCATCGTCATCATTGTAATCATCATACTTAGCTGCATCCTCATCATCATCGTCGTCGTCGTCATTAGCGTGATGGGCATCATCATGACCAATGTCGTCATCATCGTAGGCAGTGTCATCATCACCACCATCAGCAGCAGCATGATCATCATCGTTATCGTCGTCATATCATTGGCGGCGATACCACCATCGTCATTATCATCAGCATCATCATCATCGCCATCGTTCTGGAAATCATGTTCTTCATGGTCATGACCACCATCGCCATCAGCATCATCGTCGTAGTCATCATCATTCTCATCATCATCATCATCATCATCATCATCATCATCATCAGAAGAATCATCAAGATCGTCAGCAGCAGCATCGTCATAATCACCATCATCAGCATCCTCGAAATCATGATCGCCATCATCGTCATCATCGACATCGTGGTCACTGTCATCATTATCATCATCATCATCATCATCATCATCATCATCATCATCATCCTCACCCTCATCCTCATCAGCATCATCATCATCATGACCATCATCATCTCAATCATTCCGTCATCATCATCGTCATCGTCATCTCGGACAGCGTCATCGCCAACGTAGTCATCATTCTCACCGTCGGCATCGTCGTCGCCATCGTCATCATGATTACCGGCGTCGTAATCATCAATGTCACCATCATCAGCAACATCATCATCTTCACCATCGTCTGCATCATCGACGCCACAGTTATACCAATCATTACCACCGTCATAATCACAATCGCCATCATCATCATCGGCATGATAGTCGTTCACGTCATCGTAATCATCGTCATCATCACCATTGCGATCATCATCCTCGTCATCATCGTCATCATAGTCATCATCACGGTCATTATCGTCATCATTGACGTCATCGTCATCATCGTCATCGCCAACTAAGAATCATCATCATCGTCATCGTCATCCTTACCATCATCATCATCAGCATCATCATCAACGTCAGCATCAAGATCGTCATCTGTATCGTCATCCTCTTCATCAGCATCGTCATAATCACCGCCATCATCATCGGCATTATCGGCAGCGTCATCATCATCGACGCGATCATCATCACCATCATCGTCGTCGTGATCACTGCCGTCATCATCGTCATCATCATCACCTGCATGGTGGTCAGAATCGTCGTCCTCACCATTGTCATCAAGCATCGTCAACATCATCGTCAGCATCGAAATCGTGTTTATCATCACCTCGTCTTTCCTAATTACCATCATCAGCATCGTCACCATCATCTTCATCATCAGGATCAACATCATCATAATCAGAATCATTAGCATGGCCAACGTCAAAATCATCATCAGCTTTCTCAGAATCGTCATAACACCAGCATCGTCATCGTAACCATCTTCATCGCCATCATCTTCGCCATCATCCGCATCGCTATCGTCATCATCACCATGATGATGACCACTATCATCATCATCACCAGCATCATCATCATGGTCACCATCGTCCTTGTACTCAGCATCACAAGAATCATCGACATGGTCGTCCTTACCCTCGTCATCACCATCGTCATGATCACAGTCGTAATCATCATCATCATCATCGAAATCACAACCAATATCATCATCATCATCATCATCATCATCATCATCATCAACATAATCATCATCACTACTACCGTGATCGACATCCGCCTTCTCATCATAATTGTCACCAGCATCGCCATTATCATCATTGCCATCGTCACCATCAGGAACAATGTCATCAGCATTACCCCCCATCAGCATCGGCACCATCACCGTTATCGTCATTATCACCATCGTCGTCACATCATAGGTATCGTCATCATTAGCAGCATCATCAGCAGCAGCATCATCCTCATGATTGTCATGATCGTAGTCGCCATCA